TATGGTGATAATCAGGGCTCGTAAGTTCATGCATTTGCATGTATTTTTTGCTACATAGAAAAATATGCTTACTGAGATACAAATCCGTTTCATAACAATAGTAATAATAATATGAAGTGCATGTTTTTGCATGTTTTGGGTGTAAAGGCATATTTCATATTTGGCATATAATCGTTTTTTAGAGTTTATAGAGCATATTATTTAATAAAAAAATTGTTTAGAAAAATATTTGAGATATTTCTTGCTTCTAATTTACTTTCCCGTTTACTGAATGATAGTGTTTTGATTTATTTTTATTTTCGTGTGACTATTTACTTTTCTAGTATTTCCCTATTTAGATTTTATGCGTTTTACTTAGGACCGCGGAAACAATTTTATAGCTACCACTGCAATCCTCCGCCGTGTATAGTCCCTCGTCGAAACGATACCTGTACAACATGTACACCTGCACAATGTTTCTTACCAATCCGCATCTACAATTTTGTACACTGGTACAGTATAGTTTTCTTGCACACGCGACACGCCAGTCGCCGATGAGTTGTTTAACTGTACGAATCGTGAAAATGTCAAATAACTAATATTTCATTCCAAATATTTTCATTGTAGGTGCAGGATAATGGTGTACAAAAATTAGACAAAAAATGACTACCTNATTTTTTGTATAAAATATTTATTTAATTATAAAACTACCATTTTCATATTAAAAATGCTCAAATATGCACTTATAATTAAAAAATGGTCAAATATGCAAAATATGCAACTATAAATTTTAAATATGAACTCGTATTACCATGAAATAAATTTCTATATTACTTAGCTATGTTTTTAATGATTATTGAAAAACATGCAAACTCCTAGAAGTCCCTAGCCCTAGTTATGAGTTATGACTTTTGACTGTCGTGGCATGAAAACCTCGTTTAGATAATTCAGTCTGTTCGATTTTTTCTTTGTGATAGCTGTATCGAATGAACTTACGTGTAAAAAAAAGCTGAGTTAAAATGAGTCAAAAACGAAAGAAACCTGAATTTGGTACTAGTAGTACTCTTCTTAATTATATTAGTATTAAACCAAAAATGTCAACAATCAATTTGAACCACCCAGTCCTCAAAAACTTTTCGCTTCACCATCAACATCTGATATTGTTGGTAATTATGACAATTTTTCTTCTTTAGATATATCATTATTTTATATTCATTATTTTTATTTTTATTTTTAGAAGCACAAGAAGTTGCCTCTAATTTAGACTTGACTTTGTTTATACCTAGACTAACAAAACACCAAACTAAGCGATGTAATACACCATCAGAAAATATTGTAGAATACATTAGACGTTCAATTTTTATTCCATGAATCGATTCATTTCTTAGTAATCTTTCTGATCGATTTTTGAAACATAAAAATCTTCTTACAAGTTCTAAATGTCTTTTACCAACCGGGCATAATCCAACAGATAAACAAATTTCAAGTTTTAAAAATCTTTTTGACTTGTATGAAAAAGATATGCAATAAATTATTTTTTCTGTCGCTAAGGCCGAATTCGAATTGTGGTATGAAAAATTCAAAAACTGTGGCTATACTTTACCGCTAAACGCAATTGATGGTTTAAATTTATGTGATGTTAAAATATTTGAATCAGTATTTATACTTTTGAAAATATTTGCAAGTAAGTACAAGTACGACCGAGAGATCGTTTTCCACACTGCGGCGAATTAAAACCTATCTCCGAAACACAATGGGACAGTCAGTTTAAATGGTCTGGCTAATCTTCACATACAGCGAGAAATACAAATTAAAGAATCCGAAGTATTACAGTTCTTTCTGAAAAAGGACCCAGGAAACTTAAATATTAAATTGATTTAGTTATAAATATTAAATACATAATAATAAAACATTATATGGTGATAATCAGGGCTCGTAAGTTCATGCATTTGCATGTATTTTTTGCTACATAGAAAAATATGCTTACTGAGATACAAATCCGTTTCATAACAATAGTAATAATAATATGAAGTGCATGTTTTTGCATGTTTTGGGTGTAAAGGCATATTTCATATTTGGCATATAATCGTTTTTTAGAGTTTATAGAGCATATTATTTAATAAAAAAATTGTTTAGAAAAATATTTGAGATATTTCTTGCTTCTAATTTACTTTCCCGTTTACTGAATGATAGTGTTTTGATTTATTTTTATTTTCGTGTGACTATTTACTTTTCTAGTATTTCCCTATTTAGATTTTATGCGTTTTACTTAGGACCGCGGAAACAATTTTATAGCTACCACTGCAATCCTCCGCCGTGTATAGTCCCTCGTCGAAACGATACCTGTACAACATGTACACCTGCACAATGTTTCTTACCAATCCGCATCTACAATTTTGTACACTGGTACAGTATAGTTTTCTTGCACACGCCAGTCGCCGATGAGTTGTTTAACTGTACGAATCGTGAAAATGTCAAATAACTAATATTTCATTCCAAATATTTTCATTGTAGGTGCAGGATAATGGTGTACAAAAATTAGACAAAAAATGACTACCTAATTAAAATTAATAAAGATGACAAATCCATATATGGTTATATGAACTTCACAAGTATTAATTTTATTAATTTTGATTGTTAAATATATAAAAATTAAAAGGAATAAAATACTTTTAAAATTAATGGATATATTCTTATTATTTTAAAATTTTTTCATTAATATTTTATATAATGCATATTTTGAGTGCATAATTTAAAAATGTAAGGGCATTTAAATGCATATTTTCGAACTTTTTAGTGCATATTTTAATGCATATTTTGCCAATTTTTAGTGCATGAATGCATGCTTATTTGTGCTTTTTTTAGTGCATGAACTTACGAGCCCTGGTGATAATAAATAAAAGTGATTATTTAAAAATTAGTTTTAATTGTTTACTTGTGTGTAATTATTAAGCCCCCCCCCCCCCAAACAAAAATTCTGGATGTGCGCCTGATTTTAAGCTAGCTTAAATAAAACCCGTGAAAATATAGATACATATTTTACCTATATAAATTCAATATTGTTCGAAATGAAAAACATCTAATCAGATCCAACACAACTATCAATAATTGATGCTTTTGTTAGTATTATTAAAAATAGCATCAATCATTGATAGAATAATACTAACAAACTAAAATACTTACATTACGATACTCTACTACAAATAACAAATATAATCTTTTGGTCATTTTGTCAATATAATCAAAACAGATAAGCAATTATCTTCAATTTGAGTTTAAAATACTCAAGAGGACGTCAAAACTTCCATAAATCGTTTGTGAAACGTATACAAAATATGGAAGAAAGTATTTAATACGTATAATGTTGGGTTAAGTGCAAAATGTATTAATTTAATGTTTCAATAAAATTGAATGGACCAATCACGGGCCGCTAAACCATGTTTATTTACCACCTCACTTTTGACTCTTTTGAGTGATTTTATTTTTATATATTTTAAGGGGTGAGCCCATTTTACATTAATATGCACAGCTTGTATTCAGTTATTTATACTAAAAAATCTTAAGCACCCATAGTAAAAGGTAATTAGAACATTAACAGAATAGGGTTCATTAATTATTACATACAGTACTAGAATATGAGTGCCAAAAGGTAAGGTAAGCAAAATTAAATTAAAAACAAAAAATTAGGGTCTAAATTTGTGTCCTTTATTAATCTTTTCAACTGTTCATTTGCAAGGTAGTTGGTGGTGGTGTGAGAAATATAAAAAGATGCAGTGGATCGTATTGTGACACCTTAAAAGAAATTAGCGAGAGAAGTTCAGGAGACTCAATTGTACCATTCAGTAATCAATTAATAAACCCAAGGCTTGCAGAGTGCCTGGACAGTGCCTCCGTTCGGCCAAAGGAGGAACTTAACTGGTTTGCAACGATAGTGATTATGAGGTGGACAAGATATTTTGAGTATGAAACTGGCAAAACACAGACATTTTGTGTTGGACTCGCTCCAGTTGCCTTGATGATGAACCATTGGTAGTGTGAGGATTCCATATAACATAACCATACTCCAGCTGGGGCCAACGAGGGTTATTAAATGTTAAGCGATTATTCATGCAATCCGGTATCATAGTGTTAATTTAATTCTTTTTTTATACCTACTTCACACGATAAAAGTTGTTCAAGTATGAATAACATAAACAATTGATCATAATATAACGATGATTGATATAATAATGCTAATACAGTATACCTAACCAGTATACCACTAAATACTTGTCACTATATTCTTTAATAAAACTGGTGTCATAACTACATTTGAAATCTAAGTGGTTCTTACATAATTCTTAAATTAATTTATTTTACAATTACTTTAAGTAATTTTCTGTACTTATACCTTAGACACTAGCGATGCATGCAACCCAACCCCGTGACCTATTTTTTGTTTTTATGTATTCTTTATTGGTATTTTTTTAGTCCACAATATTTGGTTTATGATATCAGAATTTGTCTGACTTTATGGCTACAGCATGAAAGTCCTAAAGCCTAGTTGTAACTTAAGTGGATGCTCAGAGGACGATTTCAAACTCATATATATTATTTCTTTCCGAATCTGTTTTTTAGTGTTTCCGTATACTGACGATTTTTTCTAAGGAATTTTAAAATTATATTGTTAATAAATTATCATTAAGGCAATAACGTATGTTGTCTATGTAAAATAAATATATATCGAGTATAGGTGGTGTTTTTTGTGGCACTGACTGATAACTCTGTCCGGCCCAAGGCTCGAGAACGTAAACTGCAAATATACTCTTGTAGCCCAAGATCTAGGAGAGGCAGAATAACTATCAAATAACGGCTACCATGAGATAACAATATGTTATGTTGTTATTATTGTTTCTTATGTGTTATTTATTGAGTGGATTGGATTGTTGGATTGTTGATTGGATTTAATTATGTAGACATTTTTAAATAAGCTAATGTTATTGAAGGATCGTTTAGGAAGTGCAACAAATGAAAATGACAAGTTTTTGTGACTTGTGAATACAATGAATGTACCAAAAAAAAGTTATACTTGGTTTTCACCACCAAATATGTTCATTTCTGGTATATTCATTCTATGCATTTATTTAAGTTTCGAGTTATTTATATATTACAAGGTGATTTCAATGCTAATATTCTGATTTTTCAAATATAAAATATTGTGTGCATAGTTAAATTTGGTACACATGAATTGTCTACTACATCCACCCATTAGGTTTCACTTTCCTTCTCAAATATCCTCCCATATTATTATTAGTAACTTGTCTATTACTTATATTTCTTTTATTAGACTTATTGTTGTAAGGTGTTTTTGTTTTATTTCTACCTTTTGTACCATACCTATAATTCCATGGCACATCTCCTACTGATACTTATTTAACAACGGCCTCATCTTCGCCACCAATGCTGAAGGTATCCCTTTTAAAAGGTTTCCCAGCCAATTCAGCATCCTTCATTTCTTTTTTAAATTCTCTTACTTCTCTTCCTAGAACTTGTTCTTCGTCTTCTTCGACCTCTCTTTTTTTTTGATTTATTTTAATAGACTTATTGTTGCAAGATGATTTTGGCTTTTCAATGATAGCACTTGTATCGAGAACTTCAGATATTTTTTTGGGGACTGAATTTTTACCGAAACCAATTTCGTAGGTAGTTGTTTTATAGGGTTTCCCAGCCAAGAATGCTTCTCTCCTTTCTTTTTGAAATTCTCTTATTTTTCTTGAGAGTTCTTGTTCTGGGGTTTCTTCATTCACATTATCTTTTTTAGCTTGGTCTTCAGGATAAGAACGGCGTTTGTCACAGGCGGCCTAAAAATACAAAATATAAAATAAAAATAATGTGATTTTTATTGATACAAAACATTTTAATAAACAATTAAATCAAAATTTTCAGAAAATAAGTAGCTATACGAAGTTAGTTAAACATTTTTCATTTCCATACTTTTCGATTCTGAGCTAAGTGATGAATGTATTGATTTTAAATGATGTGTATTTTTTTTTTGTGTCTGTCATCACTTTTTGAGGCAGTAAAATTGCTTCGATTTCCTTCAACGTCATTTTTCCTGGTAGAATAGTGAATCTCGTTGGTACCTTGGGATGTCAAAAGTAATAAATTCCCTAGTTTTCAAAAGAAGCAGGAAAAAGGAACAAAATATTAAGGAAAAACGGGATTTTGTACAGAAAACCATTTCTTGACAAAATCGATTTTGGTTTTTGATGTAACTCTAAAAAAAATTCCGTAGATACATAAAATGTTCACTGAATGTTTATATTCTCAATTTATAAACATATATAATGTTATGGACATATTCAAAATATTTTGACTCGTGTTGAACTATTTATAGGTAATATGTACCTATAAAAAAATGCACGATTATTATAAGTTTTTTTTTAACTATTGTCGAAAAAAAATTGTTCACTCCGTCAAAGAACTTAAAAATGTAATACAATGTCCCTCGTAAGTTGTTATTAGTGGAAATTAAAAAAAAAATTATCCACAAAAATTTTTTATGAGCGTTTGAATTTAGAATTCTGATAAAATTCGTAAAAATCATGAAAATGTGCAATTTTGTTTGATTAGAAATTCATAAAAAAAATTTTTTATACTTAAGATTTTAAAATTGAATACAAGATTATTTATAAGTTTATCCACTTTTATCGAAAAAAAATTTTTACCCGAAAGTCAATTTATATTTAAAATAAAAACATTTTTTTTCTGTTATAGATCTAAATACAATAAAAAGTATATATACAATATAATAATTATTCCAATATTGTTTATGAGGGCGTATAATTTTATATTCAGAACGAAAATTTTGTAAATCTAATATTATTATTATTATATTATGTTTGTTTTTTGTTTAAAATTTAATTTTATATTTTGTACGCAACTGATACCTATAAAAAAAATTCTACGTGATCTTATACAGTTAATAATATATTGATTTGCATGTAAAATATTAATATATTGATTGATGTTAAAATAATTTTTATAAATATTAATGCTCAATATTATTACCTGAGTGTAAGTGATAACCATGCACAACATTAGCAATGATGCTTTCATCTTGATATTAATCTTCTACCCGCTAAACATAAAATGTTTCGTCTACAAGCTATGTGTACTTTATTTGACTTCAGTTTTTATATATCAAGTCTTGCAAATAATTTGTTCAAAGTTATCTCGAATATACAATGAACATGTGTTTTCAATAATTTGCAGTCTGCAGCTATATTGTTTTCTAGTATTTTTTCCATCAATACCTAATTTTACATAATTCTTGTTTAACCTAAACATAAATAATATTATATGCAATATTTTAACTAATGAATGTAGGTATTTTTTTACAACGATGTGTGATTTTTTTGAAATTTTTTCCTTGTTTTTGTCATCACTTTTTGGGGCAGTAAAGCTACTTTAATTGTCTACCTTAGCGTTTTTTTGTTGTGGTGAATTTAGTTGAAAAACTGTAATCTGTAAGCTAAACCAATTTTAGATAAAATCAACTTTGTTTTTTGGCGTCACTCTAAAGTTAAAAATCTTAAATACTTTAAATTTTGACTAAATGTTTATATTGCCATTTTTTATACACGATAAAATATTCTGTATTTTGACTCTTTTTGAATTATTTACAGGCATGAGAAATTTAAGTTTTTTTCAATTACTGTGAATAAATATTTTTCAATCGGTCAGTCAAAAAAATGTTTTTAATAAGTAAAAATGTAATTTAAATACAAGGTTCTTCATATATTTAAATTAATGTAAGTAAAAAAAAATGTAAGCCCATAATAATTTTTAATGTTCATCTGCAAATAGAATTTTGACAAAATTCGTCAAAATATGGAAAACTTAAAAATTATTTTGTAGTTGTAAATGTAAAAACCTTTTTTTCCTATCTATTTAAGATTGAAAAATGTAATATTATATCCCTTAAATATCAAAAATTTATCTAAATCTCGAAAATTTGCAAAAAAATGTCTTCTTGAATACCAATAGTGTACCTACCTATTATATTAATAAAACGTTAGAAGAATGTTCAAGAACATTTGTAGTTTAATTTTCTAAGACTATAATATTACATTTATTAGTGTTTTTTCATAATTTTTAATATCTTACCTAAATGTTTTTTTACATTCACTTAGACATCTACTTTTATTGATGATTCATATTTTTGTGTATCTTACTATCAATATAGTTTACTCTAATTAAAACTTACATCTTAAACACGTAATACCATGAAAATATTTGTACCTATTTTACCTATACCTATATATATTAAATATAATGAATAAAATATTGTTTGAAATTGAAAATATTGCAACAAATCCATCACACCTATTTGTTAACGATTAATGATATTTTTAACCATAGGTACTAACAAATTAAAATACTTACATTACTATAGGTAGACTAAATAATTTCAAACAACAAATATAATATTTTGAGAATATGATCGAAATAGGTCGCATTTGTCATCAATTTGTGTTTCAATGCTTAAGAGAACGTCAAGAAGTCAATTATTTAAAAAACTGTTTATCGTGGAAATGACCTCTCAAGAAAATAGAAATTACCTCTAATACGTGAAATGTATAAAAAAAATAAACATTTAAGAAAGTATTATTAATACGTTATAGAATTTTAATTCTCATTTCATAATTCACTCAATAAAAGTAATTTAAGTATGAATATTATAAAATAACTGATTATAGGATGATAATTAAGAAATATCTATTATACAATAAATATTAGAATATTACTAAATTATCTACACTTTTTTTCATAAGGTTGCAATAATATCATTAAACTTGAAAAATATTCTGAAATATAATATTCATTTTTGCTTAAAATTGTATTATTTTAGTGTTAACTTTATTACAGTAGTCATTAGTTTACTTATACATACCAAGATTTTACAATATATTATCAAATCAGTTAACATGTACGATGTACTAGATACGTAATAATATTTGTTTTTGTTAATAATCACTGAGATCAATAAAATTAATACTATTTAAAATTACTAAAATGAGATATGTTGTACACAGTTGATAGTTTTATTAAATCATATCATATTACAACATTTCAAAAATATTTAAATAATGGCAAATAGTACTTAGAATATAATATGACATATAATAAACTATAATTAATATTTAATAAGTATTTCATACATTTCCCTTTACCAATAATATTAACTAAACAATTGTATTTGTTTGTAATTTTTATTAAAAAAGTATAGAATTAATATTAGAATCAAGAAAAATGAATGGCATTTTGTGTTAAAAAAATAAAAACATAAATATTCACTGAATAAACTCAACTTTATTTTACAAAACAAATTTGATTTAAAATATTGCTATAATTATTTATTTTATGAAGTTTCAATCGGTCTTGCACTCGGTATTGGTACATATTTAAAACTAATTTTTATTTCAATACTTATCTAATTGACCCACTCTAGCTTTTCACCCATTTCTGGACCAAATTCCCCAAATGCTCCCCTATCACTTTCTCTACCTGTACTGTAGCCCTTTGAAAATCCATTACCTTCAATATAACCATCAAATCTTCCACCTCCATTATTTCCAACAGTTCTATTTATGTTTATGCTATTTGACTTACTTAGTCCCTTATCTCCTCCACTTTGATCACCAAATGTTATACCCCCAATTGATCCTCCAAATGTTCTCTTTCCACCATTTACATTCACTCTACCAAAGCCTCTGGATATTGAAGTTCTGTAACCTCTTCGTCCTTCACTAATTTTTATATTTTCTCCACCAGATCCACCTGTTCCGTTCTTTTTCTTTCTACCTAAACTAATAGATCCAATTGATCCACTAAATCCTTTACTTTCTTCTTCTTCTCCGTACGACCTACCTTCTCTACCCTTTTTTTTTCTACCAAATCGTATAGATCCATTTGATCTACCAATCTCTACATCTCCTCCTTCTTCCCCACCTAATCCACTTGTTCCACTTTTATATTTTCCACTAAATCGTATGGACCCATTGGATCTACTAAACCCTCCATCTCCTCCTTCTCCTCTAATCGATAAACCTTCTCCATTTTTTCTTCTGCTACCAAATCGCATAAACCCATTTTGTTTACCGAACCCTATATTTCCTCCTTCTTTCCCATCCAATCCACCAGTTCCACTTTTATTTTTTCTGCCAAATCGTATGGCGCCATTGGATTTACTATATCCACTATCTCCTTCTTCTTTTCCAGCCGATCCATCTGCTCTACCTCCATTTATCCTATCAAATTGTATAGATCCAACTGATCCACTAAATCCTCTATCTCTTCCTTCTTCTTTATCTTCACCATTTTCAATGAACATTCTGCCTCCTCTATTTCTTCTCAATTCACCAAATTCTATGGTTCCTCCCTCACCAATAAATCCTTGTTTCTCGCCTTTCCTAGATCCTAAGCTAAATTCTGCGGAACCACCACTTCCACCACCCAAATTATATTTTTTAGACTTATGACCTCTTCTATAGTTGTCCTCTTTACCTATTCCATGCGTTTCACTTTCTCCAATTTCACCACTGTATTCTTTACGTAAACCGTTCTCATTTAATTCATTTAATTCACCAAGGCTATTTACTAAATTTAAACCATCCTCACTGATTGACTCACTTAATCCACCAAACTCTCCCAGTTGAAAACCTTCATCTGAACTACTCGATCCATCCAATAATTTATTCACTTCATTTAAACTACTCATATCACTCATTTTACTTGTTTCATGATAAATATTTGATAACCCAGGTCCATTGATATGGATTGGAATTTCAAAATTTGGAAGTGCTGTTGTAGCTAATGATGACCCAAAATTCATTTTAGAGGGTTGAATATTAGTAATTAAATTTTCTGACTTGCTGGCATTGTTATCATCTCCTTGTTGACCGACTTGTTTTGCAAAAATTGTATTTGAATCCTGCCCCAAACCTATATTAGATGACATTTTTGTATTTAGATTATCAATCTGATTTGTTAATGTGCCTCCTTTTATTCTAAAAGGTTGTATTGTTGAAGACATAGACTCTTGCTGTAGATTTCCATTATATGTTGGTACCTTGAAATGTAAAACAACAATAAAAAGGAAAAACGGTCTAATTTAAAATAAAATACAAAATATTTATTTATCCATCAATACTTTTCTTTAAAATATGATTTTACTTTATTTATAATAAATCGAAAAAATGACTTTAAGTAAGCTAGTTTTAAATATTAGTTATCTACTTATCTGCAATACTTTAATTCTTGATTAATTTTATTTTTAAATATCGATAGAATTTTCAAAGAAAAATTCTATGTTGTGTATAGTACCATGTCCATCATTGTCTTATACATACATAAATAATATAAAAGTATACACAGTACAATAAGAATGAAATGTAATCAATTTTTACCGATTGGCTGCTTATTGAGGAATATGTTGTACTCGGTGAACTCCATGAAACTGAAACTCCGGCGACATAAAATATCTAAAAATAAATATAAACTCTGAAAACATTGATTTTATTCTTTTCTTTATTTAAAGTATTATAGTTTTATACATGTTTAATTTAAACAATATTAAAATCAATCACAAATTATTCACAATTAGATGATAAAATTAAGTATTTTACCTTAAAAAATTTAGTTGAAAATAAATACTATGAAGGTTTAATAAATAAAAAAACCAAAAAAGACTCATGGGCCAGTTGTTAGACACTCTTTTTACTTCAGTTTCCTTAGAACAGGATTATAATGCATGATTATTTTTAAATTCATTAAAATGATTTTTAGTAGATAGCATAAAAACATGTATTTTAATTTGTTATATCCGTAGACTTCAAATTACTTGTTTTATCATGCGTTATTAAATTAACATAAGAAACATGATAGTTAATTCAGCTATCTAATAAACTATAAGATGTTTGAATAAAATAAAATTCAATGTCGTACAAACAATCAAAAATTTAAGTTTGAAATAGTTAAATCAATAAAAACTATTAAAAACTAATAAACATAATATATATAATATATTTATTGTTTAAGTGGTTATTATCACAGTAGACTGCGCTTTTGTTTTGCTTTCACTCACTTTTACACTGACGGACAGTTGTTCATAATATGATTTATAATGAATCAGATTAAAATATTAAAATATAGTAAATCATATTGTTGTAAATTGTTTCATGAATTACCTACTCTAAACTTACAATTGATCTGTTATTAAGTATATTTATTAATTTTAAAACTAACAAATTGGCTTTATTAATAGTACGTTTAATCCAGAACAATAAATTATTTAATTAAATATTTAAAATGTACATTTATGTCAGTAAGAGAATACATTTTAAAATGTTGTATTGTTACCATTTATGATTAACAGTAAATTATATAAAGTAAATTTGACTTATACCTGTAGGATCGGTAATGAAGTAAAATAAACTAGGGTGAGTGTCATTTTCATACGTTCTAATTAACTGGTTAAAAACTATGTAATGTAATACTGTCTATTAGACAATATTAGTCATAGGTACCTGTATGAACTTTATTTTTGAGTTCCCATATAACCTTTTTATACTTCAGGTAAAATGTATAATTGAACACCATTATATGGGTTTTATTATATTTACATATCTATACAAATATAAACCAACCTACAGATACAATAACGATGTCATCATACTATCATTTCTGTTATTTGTCCAAGAACTATAGGTACACACCAACATTAAACAGTTTAGAATACATAATAAATAAGTCATAGTTAATATTTTTTATTAATGGTAATCCTACAAATGGTTTTAATTATTGTTATCACAATTGTTACTTTGATGAACCACTGAAGTCAAAAGCAAATATTTACGAACAACTATAGCTACCTTGTTTTTAAAACAAGTTGAAGAACATAATATTAACTTGTTATAGATATGGGTTAAGAGTTAAGACAGAAGTGTTAAAAATAGGGACATGTTAACTGTGCCAAATTGAAATAGGTAGTACCTACCTACGCTAGAACATATTATACTGTAGTAAGTCGGTATTTGTTAGAAATTAAAGTATGTTTAAAATATACTGTAGCTGTATAATATTATTTTACCTATGATTATTTTTCATCTCGTCTAGCAATAAGTTACAATTTTATGATGCTTTTTACATTATAATATAATTGATGTATACATTACATATACATATTAAAATGAGTAGGTTAGTAGGTATACTTACGATATGGGTTTTTAGGAATACTACTTAAACAAATAATAATATTTGATCATATGTAGTTTATTTTTTACCGTACATACAATTCACAATCATAACTTTTGAAAATAATAATCAGTGTCTCTTGTTTTGCAAACTTGATTGTCACGTCACACTCGTTCATTGTAAGGTATATTTATCACTTTGCACTTACAATTTATCATCATACATTAAGAGTCACTAATATTTTTGTTTTATTTATCATTAACGTATATTTTTGTATACCTAATGTATACTATGTATATTTTATTTAATGCAAACATTGAAAGTATAATTCTTAACTTATTAAGTTCACAGATCCTGTTACAAGTGTGAAATAGATATAGGTATTAGATAAATTATATTTTATATTTATCTATTAGAAAAACAGCGTATGGATATTGATATAAAATATAACTAATAGTATTATTTTAGAAGAAAATGAAAACATTTTCTGTAATAAAATTATAAAACTATGTTTTCCATGATTGAACTATGTTTGTTAGAAATATATATAGTAGGTACCTATCTTACTTATTTTAAGTGATGTCCATATTCTTAAAATTGATGATGGTTAGTAAACTTACTACCTGTATATTTTTAATTCATAACCCATTTTTTCAAATAATATACTTTTTTTCATATAATAGTTTATTCCCATAAAATACATTAATCAAATTGTTGCTGCATAATCAAAAAATTTGTTTTTATTTGTCACATTTTGGAGGATATTAATGAATTATATTAATCTTTATGGTATAAGAAATTATTTGCCAGCATTTAAAAGTAAAGTTATAATTTACAATTAAGAGTAACAACATTATTTGTGTAACAACGTATTTGTTTAAAAGAAGACAGTTTATTAAAATCTAAGCTGCAGTGCCTGAAACCTTGAAAAACCAAACACTAGAATCGGCTAAAATTTTGATCAGGGATTTAAAACCCTATTATTGAATATTAATAAAAATGTATATATTATACATATATACATTATATACTATATATTTTATTTCAACCCAGTAAGTAATTTTTTGATCAAAAAAATTAAAACTCTTGAAATGTACCTATATAGCCTTCTTATAAATATTTGTTATCTTATGTTGAGTGTGTATAGGTTTAGCAATTATTAATTTGTTGGTTTTCAGATACACATATTACTATAATTTGAAAACCAAATTTTCAACTGTTTCATTTTATTGGAAAATCATCAGTTTTTTGCAATTCATCTTATTCTACAGAATATATGATATATGCAGAACACTACAGTTAATAAAAATCGAATCAATGATTGTATTTAATTTTTAATGATCATATTATTATAGTTATTCATTTACAGTGTTTGTTAATTTGTTGATATTGCTATACACGACTACACGAGTACCTATTCAACAGTTGTTTAATATAATTACAAAAATTAATTTGGTACTCTGTTAGATTATGAATATTATTAAAAAAATGCATGCCGATTGCCGACATTATGCTACCCACCCTTATTATTATTTCTGTCACTCGGTTCGTTAATTTTTTCTCTGCTTAATATATTACACGGACGCCGATCTAAACGATGCCGTTGTTTTTCTCGTACGCTTTCCCTTGTAGTGTTCGCCATTTGGATCATCCGTAGGTTTTCCTTGACTGTGACTCATCTGCATCATCGTCGATTTCATTCTAGACAGCAAATTATCCAGATGACTTTGCATCTGATTGGCATCCGTCTCCTTAAACAACAAGCGTTCAATGAATCTCTATCGAAACAGTTGTAAAAAAAATGTTTTACCTTTTTCAAAACGACTAATCCCCTGTTTTCCGGTGTGAAATTTCTATAGACGCCGTAGCGGATTGTCGGGGGTTGCGCGTATCGGAACATAGTCGTAGACACGGTAGACATAGTAGGCCTCGTGGTGAGCATAGTAGGCCTCATGGTGGGCATAGTAGGCCTCATGGTAGACAAAGTAGACCTCATAGTGGGCATAGTAGACATAGTGGGCATAGTTGTAGGCATAGTGGGCATAGTGCGCTGTGTCCGTACGTATCTATAGCTGCTGTACGGCCTAAAAAGCTGCGAGTAAACGTCGTATTGCGATGACTCGTAGTGTAACGTTGTGAATATGATCGCGATTAGCACAAATTTCATGATAAAAGTAAACGAGAAAACTTTGATGTGATATATAGCTAAGTGGAAATAATGCGAACTCGGAACGAGTGTGTTTGATGTACGCCCAACACTGTTTTTGAACGTCGAAACGTACACATGTTCCTAGTGAAGTAATTATTTTCGGCAGACACTATTTGAACCATTGATTTTAAAATATGTACGACTGTATTTATTTACGTAAAAGGTATTCGATTAGTCGCATTATACACAACTGAATAGCCATTGTACATGCACGCCGTAACCATCATTCGGGACGTTCGTTTGTTTCAAGCCTTCAAATCATCATTTGTTTGTGTTTATCCCAACTGTCGTTTTCGATTTTGATTTATTTATTCTTTTCGAAAAATGTCAATTAAATATATCTCATATATTATTATAAATTATAATATATTATTAAATTGGATATTTATGAATGATTATATTATTTATATGCGATCTCCAACGATCAATAAACTGTGATTTGTCAATTGTGATTTATTTATAAAATATCACACATAACTTTTTTTTTAACAAAAGAAATCACTCCGAACTATTAAAAGTAAGTAGTAACAACGAGGATACAACAAGAAACCTAGAACAAACACTCAAAGATTAATGGAAACGTACTCGTCTAAAGTTAGAAAAAACACGAATCAACTGGGTTCCCCTTGGTGAAGGATATGTATAAAAAATTAAAAACCATTAGCATATGAGATGAAAATATGACTAAAAAATTATATTTCTTAGAGAGTATATCAATAATAGCGTCAACTCACATTTTAAATTATCCAAAATATTCGTTTTAAGTACGTGTATTCAGTATTCACGATATTGGTACTTACGAAAATATTATAGTATTATATTATCATCGATTACAATTATAAATATATTTAGGTTATTCAAAGTATATAGTATATAACCAATTTCAGGCAATATCCAACTGAACATTTACATAATATTCTACTTTCAGTCCAATTGTACGCAGCTATAATGAACTATTAAAAATGGCAAACATGTGTAATTGTTTTATTGGAACACACTGCTGAAAAAAAAAAAAAAAAAAAAATTACATTTACCTTCTACACATGTGCAAGTTTCAACGACTCTCATTGATTCATAATTATACAGTCGTCCAAGTCGTTTAACACTATATATAACTAGACGTATGTATTTCAATTTTTAAACGACTATCGCACCTAAGCATTGGGTTACCTATACACAAAAAAAAAAAAAGTGCGCTGGTGTAGAATCATACGCTCTGGACAATCTGGTTTGTACTGTATTCACAGTTCGTAGTTTTAGATGTTGCAGACTCGAAAAATTCTAAGAAGATATTACACTCAATCCCAACAATAAGACAAGAGTAAGTATACCTACAACCTACACCGATACCTCGTCGTAAAAACGCCTCCAGTTTTGGTCCAGCAACCGGTTAAATAATTGGCATAATTGTATTTCTAAAATATTAATTTTCTTGTGAGGATTTGTTTTAACGGTATCCTATTATTTTGTCGTTTTGAAAAAAATATATATCAACGAGTCAATTTTTGAAAATATTTACGGATATTTTTAGAGCAAGTTAAATTAATAAAATAATAAAATACTTAATATGAGTATTATTAACATTAAAATATTATATATTTTTTTTTAGTATTGATTAAAGTAGGCACTTAATTAAATAATAAAACTAGTTGTATTGATCATTTTAAAAATTATTCTTTACATTGATATTCAAACACTACCTACATAATATATTCAACTTACGAGTATTATAGGTAATATAAAATTAAGTTTTAACTTCTTCAAGTTTGAATATTGAGTTCATGCATCATATGATAATATATATTTTGTATGGTAATCATTGATCGGTAAAATAAAAAATAAACCGTTTTTATGACATTTACAAAAGAAAATTATTTTTATACTTAGGTACTAATAAGTAATAATGATTTTAATAAAAAAAACAACATTAGCTCAGATGTTATATTTTTATTTTTTATTGAATATTTCTGTTTATTTGTTCTGGTTGTCTGTATTTTGAATAAAATAATAGTTTAAAAATACAATTTCAAGTCTGAAAACACTATAAATAATGAAAAATGTATTATTATATTTTCTCGTCAATATGAACTTTTGCATTTAACTTTTCAATTACCAACTAACAAATGGTTTGTGTTTTTATGTCAATTTGTAATTTTTGAACTAAATTTATTTTCAAATGCTTACGTACACGATTTTGTAATGGGTACGTTTTCTACAGCATTTCTAGTATTTGTATGAAAATGTTAAACATTTTATAAAAACTGTTCATGGTATTAGGTAAAAATATTCACAGCCCTTTTATATTCAAATCAATTGTGTATTAGAATAAACGGTTATACAAATGTTCCCATAATAATTTCACTTGTCGGTTGTTTGAAATGATTGTAAAAATGTAGGGTACCTCTGCATTTCTACAACAGTTAAGATTTTTATACTATTTTACCAGTATGATGCCGGGTTGCATCACTAAACATTTAATAAATCAAAAGTGAGTTAATGGTAATCAAACCATGATTTAGTAACCTGCAGTGATCGATCCATTGAATTTTATTAAATTAATCGATTTTTCACGCAACCCAACAGGAAAATGTTTATAATTTTTTGTATTTAAAAATTGATTTAAATTTTAAATATTATTTAAATTGTTGAGTAGGTGTAATGGGGCTTGTAATGATATTCATTCATTATTATATCGTATTAAATGTTGAGGAAATAATCGATGAAAACACCAAAAAACCTAGGAGATCAGAGTTTGTTTTGTAAATTATGTAAATTGTAAACAATATACATATATTATTGGTGTACACATTATAATATTATGTTTATGCATAAAAATAAATAAATGTTGCTAACTAAATCGTGAATGAAAATTATAGGTTTCTGCCCAAATATATAAATGAGTAGTTTTTAAAAATTGATAGTACTCACCACCTTTATTTTCGAATGGACGGAGAATATTTTTTCATCAGTAGGTATCTTAAAAAATCCTAAATTTTCCACCTAATCAAATATACTATTAAATGTTAAAATAAAATACATTTCTAATAATTTTACTCTCGGTTTTACTCATAATAATATCATCTGAAGAATATATTTTTGAACATAATATCATATATAGGTAACCATGATGTGTGGATGAGACCGAGGGTCGTGTGCATATACTGTTATTGTGGTCGCGTATACGACAGCGTCAGATTTGACTATCGCGTTTAATGGTTTAGAAAATGTAAAAATGATTTAAACCGTAATAATAGCCTTTGATGTCGTCTAAAAAATTGCATAATATAAAAATATCAAACAAATGTCCTATAACCGTCGTGGGACGAGTGGACGACACGTGGAATATATTTTAAATGGAAATTTATTACGAACATAATAATATAACAGTCGCATATTATCAGACATATTATGTAATAAAAGATATTATTATTATCTTCTTTCGGACACATATTTATTCAATGAACAGCAATTCATACAATAAACTATACAATCAGTTGTATACCGTGACACTTCAGTGGTTCTTATATTATCTTAACCGTTCAATTATAGCCTTATCAGATCACGCATACATATTAATTAATCTAAAACAAAAACATTTGTGCAATATAATTGTGCGTAACCCGTTTTAATCGAAATGAGCAGCGGGGAAAAAAACGACTATATGGACATGATGAAAAAAAAAATGTTTTTCGTCATTTGTACCATTACAATATGCGCTATAAACAGTTTTAATACATCGTGTAGTCTTTGAGTAATATTAATTATTAGAGTGATAAAACGAGTAGCTCTGTTTACCAAAAACATGATATTTATGACTTGATAATAAATTATATTGTATACATAATATTCTGTAGACAACAGAGTTAAACACTTTAAGTATTATGATGTACACATTGTGTAGGTATAATTGTGCAAACAATGTTTTGGCGGCCTCGGATGTCAATTAATATTATTGTTTTAGACACGGGTGAAATTAAAACGAGACTTTGGCGATCAAAACCGTGAAATCTACAGCCAAGATTACCGTGTTTGCGGAGCTAGTTGGACGGGTTCCAATTTCTCTTAATGAATTGAATCCCGCCATTAATGCATTTAGGTCCCGTATTGATTTTGAAAGGTCGAAAAGGTTTTGAAAAAAAAATAGTCTTAATACAGGTTTTCGGACAATATAAAACCTATGTAGTTACTATTTGCACCGTCCTTTTCCACACTGTTTGCTGTAGTAACACGTTAAGATGTCTCGGTGCGAAAAAAATTTAATTAAAAGAGATAAATATTTAACGGAAATAACAGAAATCCACGACTTTCGAATGTCAACAGTGCAATAACCTGACGGAATAGAGTAAATTGCGACCGGATTTGGTGTTACAAAACCTTTCTAATAGACATTCAGATTTCATGTTTTAAAACATTTCATTGAACCTACATAAATTAAAATGTATACCTACTTACGATAAACCGCTGATGGGGTAAATTATATAAGGAACAATGTACCTACCCATTTTTGTGTAGGTATTTAATAATAAATTGTGTGCAAATTTGTTTTCAAATGCACTTAAATATCAATTAGTTAACGGACAATTCGTGTTTGTTTAATATATTAAATTCATAATAACAACAGAGTTGTTAATCATCGAATGGATTTAATGAATCGAAAAATATTTTATACACTACAAATTTACATTGTTCCTTATAGAATACAATACATTATGTGATTATAAATAATAAGAAATTTATATTTCCAGATTTCGTAATTAGGTTATCCTTTATGCAAATGTATATTACATAAAATACATAAAAAAAAAAAAAAAAAGATTTGCTTAAAAAAAAACATATACCTATTATTAATGCAATACTTCACAAACTATTGATTAAATGTTAAAATACTGCATAAGCTAATTTATTTACCATTGGTATTGGGAACATTTTATGCTCCGACAATACTTGAAAGTTCATTGACTTATATTCTGCAAAAATATCGACACAAATTGTTCGTTTACTGCTTACAAATCATTTATATCGCATTACATATATTATATTATTTATTATTATACAATAACGATAGCATATAATGATAAAACAATTTAAAAGAACAGTCGATTGTTATGCACTCGTGTGAATAAAATCATCCTAAATTACTCGAATTTGATTACAGTATTATAATATGTTTTATGTTATTTATAAGTAGGTATACATTTGTTGAATCGAATTGTGTTTTCGTTTATTCTTTTGTGAGCTAATGGAATTTATCGACGAAC